TTAGAGAGATCTCTGTTAAAAGTCTTGCTGCTTTTGCACAGGACATGGGTTCGATTTCCATCACCCACATAAAGGCTCACGGCTGTCCATAACTCCAGTCCCAGACCTCTTCAGACATCAAAGGGCACTGCGGGTGCAGATGTACAAACACACATGGCACCAAAACAGCCACACAAAGTTGATATCACACCAACCCCTATTCATCCAAAAAAGTAAAGACCTGTACACCACCACCACCCACCCCCGGTACAGGACCCAAGCACCTCTTTGTTAGGTTTCAAACCTGGGACCAATGGTTGTGGTGTCTAACACTCTTGGACTTCATTTCCCAGAGGCATCAGCTGTTGCTGTGAAATGCATGCTGGGAGTTAAAACCCCGGTTTCCATGGATACATGCGGGTCTTTCCTAGGAAAGTTAGGGGGCAAACTGCAAACTATTTTCACACGATGTGCCTCTTAGTCACAGTGTTTGCGCATACGCAGGACAGTTTGTGGGTAAGCGGAAACAGTTTTATGGAGTAGTCGCCAACCTTAGAGGTGGATTTATCTGGCGTTGGTACTGTGCGCATGCGTAGTACATGTGTTGCGCATGCGCAGATCTGTCACCACGGCAAGCCTGTGAATAGAGTATCTGAATCGCTTGGAAATTTTTCAAATCGTCCTGTGCACTCTTTTTTTTCCCTCTTCTTCCCTTACAGAAAAATGTGGCCAAGAGAGATGGTTCCATCTAAAGTACTTGCATGCTGTCGCAATGTGGGCGAGGTAGGAGCAATGATGTGAAATCTTTCAGGAATAAGCACTCTGACATTAATGACAGTGAGGAGACCAGATGTCACGGGTGGACTGAAGCCAGAATAGCTCCGGAAAGACTTCGATCTCAGGTTCAGTTTGCATTCTAATTTTATACCTTAAACCTACAAGGTGGGGCTTAAAGGAGACCCCTTCCCTCCCTGACCCCGGATTAGGCACAAACCACATCCAAACACCAGTTTTCACAGAGAGATCCTTCATTAAGCGGGGAGGAAAAGTTAAAAGTGGCTGCTTTCTGACTCGGGCAGAAAAACAGCTGTCAATGACCTTGTAGAAAAAGAAAGAAAGAAGTGTAGGCCTATGTTAGAATGGGCTAGGGTGTGTGGTATATTTTGACAGGGCATGTTAATTAGGTGAGCCAAAGGGGACTTTTGATTGATGGACTTCAATATTTTGATAACTGGACTTTGACAGTCAGCCTCAGGAGGAGGAAGTGGCCAAATAAGGGAATAAGCCTTGCTGGCTAGCTTTAGGAATGTACTCTAACAGTTTTTAGCAAGGCGGAGGGGATTGGGGAGAAAGACAAGGTCTGCCAGAGCTACATGCTCGAGTGGGCTAAGGTCCCTTCAGCCAGTGTAGTTCCCAGTGAGAGACCCTGCTCCAAAAGTCAAGGTGATACTTACCTGGCAGGGGAGATACCATGATCACGAAGGTGATTTTTCCAGGGCAAGCCTCTCCATTGCACTCCAGATGTGCTGACCCCTGCGATATCCTGAAATGCAGGAAACTTGACTGCATAATTTGTGGTAGTGAGGGACTGAATTCACACTCTCCCTTGTATTATTTTTTTTAAAAAAATCAACGTGACCTGGGTGTGGTGCAGAGGCAGGAGTAAATTGAATGCCACGGTGGTCTAGAAAGTGAATTCCAAGCCAGACAGGACTACATGGAGAGACCCTGTCTTAAACAAAATAAAATAAAAAAAAATGCATGAGGAATTGGAATTATTCAATTTTAATAAATTTAATAAATTCAATGTTAATCAGATCTTTTGTAACTACTATATCCAACATGTTAGCCACTCTGACAAAGGTAAGAGGGAATCACAAAATGGCTTCAATTTGTATTTCCATGATGGCTAAGG